AAAAAAAAAAAAAGAATGATAGAACATGATAGAATCTAGAAGTAGAATTTTAACCAAGTTGGTAAGGTCATTTAATGGGGAAAAGACAGTCTTTTCAACAAAACATGCTGGAACTAATGGATAGCCATATGAGCTTCATATAATCTTGTACTCTCCGCACTTAGAACAAAACAAGGCATGGTGCAAACTGCTTGTTGAATGAATAAATAAATAAAAGAACAAATAGCTATATGAAGATGAGTTTAGGCTGTGTTTATGCAATGCGGCCCTCTCTCCAGGCAGAGGGGCAATGAGCACCAGTCCCATGGAGTGCAGGAAAGTCATGAGGCATATGCTACTCAACTAACATGCAGAAGAGTACATTGCTGACTGGCAGTTCTTTATACCCCTAGCAGCAGAAAGGGCCCCTCTACATTTAAAGCTACTTCTACCTTACGGACACTTCCATGGGGCCTAGGAACAGAGGACCACTGGGAGCACCAGCGGTGGCTAGAGAAAAAATATTCGCTTGCTGCAAATTCCCCCAAGAACTTCAAAATATGCCCACTTGTCTCTTGGCTCACCATTATACAGGTACCCCAAGATACCATGGGGCCTAATTTAGCTGATCTCTCTACTTCACACAGTTATGTGAACTTGAACATTCAAAGTGACTTACTCTAAGGCAGCGGTCCCCAACGCTCGAGCCACAGACCGGTACCAGGACCATCCCATGGCCTGTTAGGAATGGGGCCACACAGCCGGAGGTGAGCTGTGGGCAAGCAAACGAAGCTTCATCTGTATTTACAGCTGCTCCCCATCACTCATATTACCGCCTAAGCTCTGCCTCCTGTCACATCAGTGGCAGCATTCAATTCTCACAGGAGCACGAACTGTATTGTAACTACACATGCACAGGATCTAAGTTGAATGTTCCTTATGGCAATCTAACGCCTGATGATCTGCCACTGTCTCCCGTCACCCCTAGATAGGACCATCTAGTTGCAGGAAAATAAGTTCAGGCCTCCCACTTACGGTGAGTTGTATAATTCTTTCATCACATAGTACAATGTAATAATAATAATAGAAATAAAGTTAACAATAAATGTAATGGGCTTGAATCATCCCAAAAGTATCCCTCCTACCCCAATTTGTAAAAAAAATTGTCTTCCAAGAAACCAGTCCCTAGTGCCAGAAAGGTGGGGACTGCTGCTGTAGGGTGCTATTACTCTGATTTCCAAAGTCACACTCAATAGCTTTTGGAAAACTAATTCTTGTTTGTTAACTGATGCGGAAATGAGAGGAGAAATGGTCATTTCAGCTGAACAGAACAGGAGTTGGAGACATTCTAATCATCCCAGATAATTTCTGTTGTACATTTATAATTTTGTCTTTTCTATAATTAGATTTGTTCAGTAATAGCAATGAAGTCCCCTAATTCTTCAGTTAGTTAGTACTTTTAACCCCCATGGATATTAAGATATCAAAAAGCTGAATTTGAAATGCAGATCTGAGCTATAATGTTTTCATCCCAGCATGCTGTGCAATTTTGCATTTATGTCTTTTGTTGAGTGCATGATGTTGTGTGGGTAACAATGCAGATGAAATCTTAGTGCCAAAACCTTGTATATATAACAATATTTCCCTCTCTCTTTTAAATTAATCATGGAAGTGCTAAAGCCAACTTTTTCTGCATTTCTCAAAAGAGACTGATGATCCTCAACAGAGGCACACAGAAGATACAAACACACACGTAAATACATCCACATTTAGAGACAATTTGTAAAAACCAATTGAAGGTCATTTTTTTTTGCTGTGGCAAAAGGAATGCTTTCTGGAGAATTCCTTAAAATAACATTAAAAATTGCATTTATTTTGTATTAAAGTAACAAAAGTTCAATTTATATGCAAGGTCTTAAGGATACACTGACATGTAAAGACAGATACGCTAGTAAAGATTCAACAATTACTCCTGTATATGGCATCATAATTTTTGCCATAATAACAGTATAATTTCTAGGAAGAGTCCATTCAGAGGGCCACCTGAGCCCCAGTCTCCTTTCCAATTCTGCAATGAGCCCATACGTTTGCCGATTACCCCGCAGGTCTTGGGTCCAATTTAACATTTGGTTGGTGGCAGTTGTAGAGGAAAATGTGGCACAGCAGATTGGAAATTTGCAAACCTCCTGGAAAAGCTATTCGCTAAGCTTGTGTCAAATATGCCTGAGTAGGCTGTGGCAGCTGCAAAATCTAGGCGCCCAGGGTGCAGATGGTGTTCCTGTCACGTGGCCAAGGGTTGGCTGGATCCTTCACATCACAGAGCCCCTCAGCCAGCAGGAATGGGCCCTTCCTGTAGAGCACCTGCATCCCACTCCATCCACTGCCACTGCCACCCAAGGCTGTGATGCTGATACAGGCATGGTGGCAGAGAAGGGTACAGGAGGTCAGGCTCCTTGTGCCCCTGCCTTTACTGCAACAAGCTATGACATGGGCTTGGAAGGAGCATGCGCTCCCAGCAGCACCTACAATACTTAGAAAACTCTTAGTTACTACCCAGAATAGACACTTCCCTCCAGCAATGCAAATTCTTCCCCATCCCACTCAAAAGGTATCAACTATCCAATCTGGCACCTCTGACTTCTGCCAATCTGGATTGTCTGCCTTCCTAATCCTGCACAGAACTTCAGCTTCCAGCAAGCCTTTCTGGCTTCTCCGCACAGCTCATAATATTCTTCTACACTGTGGCTTGTCAGTACTCACAGGCTCTCTGATTTATTCAATCAGCCATTGACATTGATTCACATATTCATTCCATAAATATTTACTGAGCATCTACCATATGCCAGGTGCTGGTGAGGCAATGATGAGAAGGCCCTACAATGGTAAATAAGATAAACAAGGTCCTGTGTTTAAAACTTTCCATCTTATCAGGAAGATCAGTAAACAGACACGTAAGGGGAAAGATAAAGAAGTGAAGATGTTACAGGGGAACACAGTAAGATTCTTTGGCAGACTTGAAAGTCAGAGAGGCTTCGTGGAAGAGCTACTGTCTAAACTGAAGCCTAAAAGGTGAGTGGGCCTTAGGCAGGTCCAGAGTAACATGGTGATGGTGGGTTTGAGTAGGGAGTGGACCTTAGGGAGGCCAGGGGCTCCAGAGACCATATTCCAGTGAACTAGAACAAGCTTCAGAGAGGAGGGGGAACGCTACTAGTGTGTGTCTTTTTTCATTTTGTTTTGTGTGTGCTTTTGAATTTGTCTGCCTGCTATCTCATATGTTGTTTAATACTCCATACAAGAGCCAATTCTTAACACAGAGCTTAGTAAGCACAGGTAATGCTCCATGGCATGTTGGTGAATACATTACAGCTATTTGCTAATTTGTTGAGGCAGGGCAATCTTTCTATAGCTCCCCATGTGCTGTCTGTCAGTCTGCCTGGCAGCAAAGGACTCAGCCTGGGTACCCGGTTGCAGAAGGGACTATCTTGTGCTTAGAGAATGATGTCCAAATGGTGGCTACATCCTTTGTTCTGGAATAACTCTGTCTTGAAGAAAGGATATTCCCATCTCCCCTGACTTTTAGGGAAGTAGCAGTAATTCACACTCTAGTGCAATAGAGAAGAAATGGAAGGGAGTTGATTGGTGGGCATTTAATAATTCATTGATGGACATTGCTCAGATCTCAGTTTTCTAGGCCTCTGGGCAGGATTCAACATCCAAACCACTCCTTCCTCCTCAAAGCACCCTTCCCTCTTGGCCTCTGAAAGCCAAAAAACACCCTTCTATACCTCCTCTTGCTGCTCCTTATCAGCCGTCTTTGAAGATTCGTCTTCTTCCACTCAGCCTTCAAATGCTAGGAGGTCTCAAGGCTCCTTCCCAGATCACCTTCTTGTCTCACTCAGTGTTTTCTTCCTTGGAAATTTCTTAAACCCCATCTTTCCAGTGATCAGCTCATGGCTGATTACTACCAAATGAGGAGCTCCAGCTGAAGAAGGCTCAGGCAGTTGTCATGTTTTGGTTCCTTAGCAGCCAAACTCTTTTCTATTCACAGAGAATTCCTCTTCTTGCAAGTCTTCATAGGGAGCAGAGCTCCATTCCACAATAGGAGCTGGGGGTGTTGTGCAATAATAGCTTCCACAGCACACAGCGCAGCTAGGACATAAGCAAGAAGCCCAGGCTCAGCCAATCAAAGGTTAATTTAGAGACTCGGTCTAAATCTGTCCAGGTGACAAAGTAAGGATGACAGCTGGGACCACAGCCCCCACAGACCAGTGCTGGGGTGTCTGTGATGTAAGATGCCACATCCTGTGTTCAAGAGCAGCTGCAGAGGAAATAGCAGTGTCTTCCTGTCACCTGACTGCTTTCAAGGCGAGCTATTGGCTCAGGTTCTGGACGTACAGCCTCCTTTTGATTCTTCCTGCCCACTTTACAAGTGTGGCTCTTTTGGCCCCCTGGTAATTCAGTGAGCTACCGAATATCTCTTCGGTAAATCCCTATTCTGCTTAAATAAGCCAAAATCAGCATCCATTCTAGTGATGGTGGCCCAACTGAGACGTTTCCAGCTGGCTCTGATCTGTTCCATCTTCACACCAGTTACCCCACATCAGTTGTTTTTAAGATGTACTCCCATCTTACTCCATTTTTTACTACTATGCCAGAGTACCACAGACTGGCTATAAAGAAAAGATATTTCTTTATAGAAAAAGAAAAACATCTCTGGGTATAAGGAGATTTCTTTTATAAAGAAGAGAGACTTACTTGACTCAAGGTTCTGGAGGCTGGCAATTCCAAGATCAAAGGGCTACATCTGGTGAGGACCTTCATGTTTCCTCACAGCATGGCAGAAGGCATCCCATGAGAAAAGGCAAGGGAGGGCGAAAGCACATGACACACTCTGAGAGAGAGAAATAGGAGCAGACCTCATCCTTCTGTCCAGAGCGCACTCCTGCAATAACGAACCCACTCCCATGATAATGGCATTAACCTGTGCATGAGGGCAGAGCCCTCATCGCCCAATCACCTCTTAAAGCCCCCACCTCCTAATATTATTACATTGGCAATTAGATTTCCACACAAGTTTTGTGAGGGACATTTAAATAGCAGGTCCCCAGGTACCTGGGGGTTGCTGAGGCACTCTCAGGAGGTCTGCAAAGTCAGAATGATTTTCATTAAATTCATAAAATTACTAAGACATTATTTGTCTTTTTCATAGTATTGAATTTTCAGCAAGGTCCAAACAGTAGTGTGAGGCTGTGGTATGGAGCTGTAACCACAGCATCCCGCTCTTCACCGTCGTGCCCTTGGAGAAAAAAAAAAAAAAAAAGACAGTTTTGTTTAGGAATAACCTTTTTGAAACAGTAAGGAATATTAATTTTATTAAATTTTGACTCTTAAATACACAAAAAGTGTGAGTGCTGCTGCCTCACATTCTGCCCAAGGCCCCCAGCATCTGTTCACAGAGCTTATGAGTCTCCACTACTGTGGGCCGTGGGTAGCGCCCTGGCTCAGTGAGGGCCCACACCATAGACAGTTCTGTGTTTTCCACTCCTTCTCCTCCCATCTAAGTTGCCTTTTCACCTTTTGCTCACCCTTCCTGACACTGGTCCTAACTAGCTCTTGAGAGCAGAAAGCCTCACTCAGCAGACACTCAACAAACATCCTTATCTAGGCCTAAGCTTTGCTGCATCTTTGAGTTACTGTTTCTATTTGGGGTGGGCTAGAGGAAGAGAAACCACTACATGGGACCCAAAAGCAGAGAGGTAGGAAAACGCACAGAAAGTAGATTAGTATTTCACACAACACTTAGCTGCACTTGCGATTCAGAACCCTGACTGTTCAGATGGTCTGTGGACGCTCCTCTCAGCCCCTGACCCACATCCAGCCTACCCTGGATCTGCCTCCTACCTAGAACATTCCCCTCACTTGATGCTTAACTATCTCCTGCTTTTAACTCAAATCCCATTGAGCTTAAAAGCCACTTTCTTTTTTTTTTTTCCCATTTATTTATTTTATTGCATTTTAGGTTTTGGGGTACATGTGAAGAATATGCAAAATTGTTGCATAGGTACACACGTGGCAGTGTGATTTGCTGCCTTCCTCCCCATCACCTATATCTGGCATTTCTCCCCTTGCTATCTCTCCCCAACTCCCCACCCCCCACCATCCCTCCCCTATTTCCCCCCAACTGGCCCCAGTGTGTAGTGCTCCCCTCCCTGTGTCCATGTGTTCTCATTGTTCAACACCCACCTATGAGTGAGAACATGCGGTGTTTGATCTTCTGCTCTTCTGTCAGTTTGCTGAGAATGATGGTTTCCAGGTTCATCCATGTCCCTACAAAGGACACAAACTCATCGTTTTTGATGGCTGCATAATATGCCATAGTGTATATGTGCCACATTCTCCCTATCCAGTCTATTTGGGTTGGTTCCAGGTCCTTGCTATTGTAAACAGTGAAAAGCCACTTTCTTAAAGAGGTTTTCTTCCATGTTTCAATCTAAATTAGGTCACCTCCCCTGCTCTACTACCCTGTCCTTTCGCTTCATAGATAGCATTTATCATAATTTTAATTTCATGTGTATCTGTGTTTGTTTGTTTATTACTTGTCTCTCTCAGTAGATCACGGCCACCAGGAGGGCAGGCCCATGTGTGTTCTGCTCAGCGCTACATACCCAACAAAGAAGTGCTCAATATTAATTTATTTTAAAACTTAAGGAGAATGGGGCTATAACTAGTACTCTTTTTGACTTTTCTTTTTTTCTAAAGTATGCATTTAAAGCCACAAAATTCCCTCTAAGCACTGCTTTCGCTGCATTCTATAAATGTTGATAGGCTGATAAATTGTATTTGCATCATCATTTCAGTTTAAATACTTTCTAACTTCACTCCTGACTCCCTTAGTGATACATAGATTATTTAGAGGTATATGGTTTAATTTCAATATATTGAGTTTCTAAATTTTATATTGTTGTTGATTTCTAATATAAATACATGGTGGTCAGAGAACATACTCTATATAATTTCAATTATTTGACATTTATGGAGACTTGTTTTATGTTTTATGACTCAGCATATGGGCTGTATTGGTGAACACAGCATACACACCTGAAAAGAATATAGATTCTGCAGTTGTAAGATGTAATGTTCTATATCATTAGGTCAAGGTGGCTGATTGTGTTGTTCAGATCATTTTCAACTTTATTGCTTTTCTGTCTAATTGTTCTATCAGTCGCTGAGAGAGGGGTTTGTACTTCATGTATTTTGAAGCCCTGTTATTAGGCACATCCACATCCACATTTGTTGTGTCTCCCTGGTGAATCGACCTGATCATTATGAAATGTCTCTTTTTTATCTCTGGCAATACTTTTTGTCTTAAAGTTTGTTAGTATGTTCCTCTCTCTTAAGCTGATGTAAAATAGCACCATTTAAACTGCAGCTTTTCTACGTTTCTCCCTCAATTTCTGCCTCTATCTTATTTTCTAACCTCAGTGCTGAGCTGCAATAAATTAGAAATGTGGCATGAACCAAAAAGATTATTTTCTCTAATGGTGAAAGGAGGGTGTAGCCAAGAGGCTGGTCCAGCTCCCATTTTCATCTCTGATGCAGCCATCACTCGCCAAAGAGATAAGCCGCACACCCTCCCTATTCCCCAGGCTTTCCTCTGAAGGTTTTTCCCATGGATCATGAAAAGCAACTCTACCCATTTCTAACATTTTTATGTGTTTGACTTTATTAAACTTGGGGCTTTCAATAATGCATGAAAAGCAAATCATTTCATGGCTACTAAAGCGGTTGGAAGACAAACTTTTTGACTAGAGCATCTAACCGTGAACACAATTGATGCAACTTTAACAAGCGTTTCGGTCTAGTATAGATTCAAGGGAGACTTTCATAGCACTCTGAGGAAATCAGGTGCAAGGTTAACTGTGATTTTTCTTCCATTTGAACTTTTCAGAACATCTTCTATTCCTGTTATGAGAAACAGCGGGCAATATCAATTTTTAGATGATAACATAGAAGATTCACAGAAGTTCTCCTAAACATTCTGGTTAATGAAAACTTGGGGGTTTTATTTTTTCACTAAATACTATGGTTTGATTGCTGGAGGAACCTATTGCTACTCTTAGATTGTTTTCAATCTTCTTGTAAATCTCCAATGCCAATACTGGATGCCTAATGTCATTAAAAATAAATCCAAACCAATTTCCACATGGCATGGACTTTAAATATCATATCCCATCATCATAGGTACTTTCATGAATGTTTATGACAGGCAGATACCTAGATGATGGCATTTGAGAAGGCCACAAAAGCCCTAACACAGTAGCAAACTGTCCCTCATCAGTTACTCTTTTGAGTAAGACATTTTCCTCAGAAGGCTCCTGTTACAGCTCACCTGGCACCTCTGCACCAGTAACATTAAAATGTACTAACACAATGGTGTGTTTGTCTATCTGATCAGTTAGTGGTTCGCTACGCTTGGGTCCCCATCACACTGCAAAGAATTTTTGCCTGTAAACTCCTCTCTCTAGTGTTTTGCTCATTTCTCTAGGTACCTCTGTGGTTTCCATTCTCACCACAAAACAGAAAATGTGAAAATGCCAAATATACATTTCCAGCCCTGGTCTCTTTTTCTAAATAATGCATTACCATCTCTGGCTTCCAGATGGTTATTCTCACTGAGCTACAGTGGAACCTAACTGCAATGGTTAGCTGGAACCTAACTGCAAAGGCTAACTCTGTGTCAACTTGACTGGGCTAAAAGATGCCCAGATAGCTGGTGAAACACTATTTCTGGGTGTGTTTCTAAGGGTGTTTCTAGAGAATATTTGTATTTTAATTGGCAGACTGAGTAAAGCAGGTGGCCCTCAACAAAGTGGGTGGACATCATCTAATCCATGGGGGGCCCTAATAGCACAAAAACAGGGAGGAGGGGGTGAATCCTCTCTCTCTCCTTAGTTAGGACATCCATCTCCTTCTACCACCAGACATCAGAGCTCCTGGTTCTCAGGCCTTCAGATTTTGGGACTTAGACTAGTGGTCCCCCTGGGTTCTCAGGTCTTTGTCCTTGGACTGAATTACGCCACCAGCTTTCCTGGTTCTGCAGCTTGCAGATCACATATCTTGGGTCCTCTTAGCTGCTGTAATCACATAAGCCATAATAAATCTTCTATCTATCTATCTATCTATCTATCTATCTATCTATCTATCCATCCATCCATCCCTCCCTCCCTCCCATTGGTTCTGTTTATCTAGGTAACTCTGGTTAAAAAACTAACTTTCCAAAACAAAATTCATTATCACTTCCACACTAATAAGCCCTAATTTATTCAGTGAATTATCATTTTTTCAGCCACAATAGGACTCCCCTCCTCCTCTCTCACTGAAGAAGCCACAAAACTCCATTTCTTCCTTTCCCAGTCTAGTATCCCCCAACAATAAGAAAGCAGGAGACCTGAGGGACAGGTTGTGAGTGGACAAGAAGTCAGTAAACATGAGAAATGCCTTCTATGGGCCGGACATCATATCAGGCATGAAGATCCAGAAGGCTTATGACCATAGAGAATGACCAGTAAATCCACAAGTAGATTTGGGGTGCCAGCAACTGAGCTGCAGAGAAAGCCTCCGTAACCTGAAGGAAGTGATGCTTCCGTTAAGGGCTGAAGGCAGGATAGGAATTAGCCTGCTGAACCGAGGCATGGAGGCACCTTACACAAAGGAACAGCATGAGCAAAGGCATGAAGGCAAAATCATGATGGCAGCGTATTTCTGAATCTTAAAGATCAGGTTGTGGAGTGGACGATGTGGCCATGTGAAGGTGGCGGGAAGTGAGACTGATGAAGCAGCTGGTGGCCAAATTGTGAAGGACCTATTGAGACACCCTTGCAATTTTCTTACAAAAACAAAGTTTTAAGTAATAAAATTACAAATTCATAGTGGCATTTTGGATAGATACCTCTGTGAAGCAGGGTGAGGTGAACAAGACTGGAGGCAGGGAAACCATGTGTGATAGACTGAATTATTAGTCCTAATTCTTCACTATCGTAACATTACACATCCACTCCTCTTCCATGGCCTCATGGTGGGTGCCATGCATTTCCCACATGTTGACTTTGGACTCGATTTGGCCAATAGGATATTAGCAAGTATGGCACAAGTAGAGATTTGAAATGTACCTGCATGTTTGAGCTAACGCACTTGTGCTCCTGCCTTCCAGAATGAGAAGAACATGTCTCTGCATGTCTCTGGTGTCAATAGTTCCAGAAGGAATGCAAACAAATGGGACAAACTTAAACCCAACATGCAGTTGGGACTTGAGGCAACTCTAGCCAAGCCCAATCCAAGGTCACTGAACCACAGCCAACTTGTAGGGACTCAGATGAGAAATAAATGTTTGTCATTGTAAATTCCTGGGTTTGGGGTTGGTTGGTTTCAAGAATTATTGCTTCAATAACTAATTTACATACCAGTTTAGAAGGTAGTGAAAGAGAAACAAAAAGAAAAAAAAAAAAAAAAAGAAGGGATTGGCAGGGTGCGGGGGCTCACGCCTGTGATCCCAGCACTTTGGGAGGCTGAGGTGGGCAGATCACCTGAGGTCAGGAGTTCAAGACCAGCCTGGCCAACATGGTGAAACCCCACCTCTAAAAAAAAAGGGGGGGGGGATTGAAAGAACTCAATAAGAAGATGATAAGTACTTGAAATAGTGTAATGGCAATAAAGATAAAAAAGAAGTAAATTGATGAAACACTTAAGAGGTAGAATAAAAGACCAGGTGGGCTGGGCGAGGTGGTTCACGCCTGTAATCCCAGCACTTTGGGAGGCTGAGGCAAGTGGATCATGAGGTCAGGAGCTCGAGACCAGCCTCACTAACATGGTGCAACCCTGTCTCCACTAAAAATACAAAAATTAGCTGGGCATAGTGGTGCATACCTGTAATCCCAGCTATTTGGGAGGCTGAGGCAGGAGAACTGCTTGAACCCGGAGGCGGAGGTCTCAGTGAGCTGAGATTGCGCCACTGCACTCCCGCCTGGTGACAGACCAAGACTCTGTCTTGGGAAAACAAATAAATAAATAATAAAAGACAAGATAACTGATTGGATATGGAAAGTAAGTCTAGGAAGCCTCATGGGATCGTCATGGAGACAACTGAATGGAACCAACTGAGTTGAGGGATGTAAGACGGGTGAGGAAGGAGCATCTCTGGTTAGAAGACAATGACTCTAATTTTGATATGGGGAGCTTGAGCAGCCTGTCAGTTATCCAAGTGGAGATAGCTGGAAGTCAATTAGAAAAGAGGGAGAGGGATGTAATGAGCTTGGTTTGGTTTGGTTTCTGCTCTGCATCTTATGAACCTGCTTTATATGTTGGAGACTCTCCCAACTGTATGAATTTGGTGGGAGACAACATCCCCACCAATTCTCCAAAAGTCCAAGAGGCTAGGTACTTACTCTCCATGACACCTGAGGTCATGAGTCACATGACCCAGGTATTGCCAACCAGCTAATTCTGCTCAATGCTTTGTTTCATTTGTGAAACAAAAAAGCAGGGGATAGTTGAAATGTCATTCAAATGACTCCAGTGGTAACATCCAGCATCCTGTGTTGGTCCAAGCAGGGGTGTCTGCCTCCTGCAGGGGTGGTGATAGCATACTCCACCCCACCCTACCCTGGCTCCTGCTCGTTTTCTAAACCTGGTTCTCCAGCCCCCCTGCAGGCTTTGTGAGCTATCCAATATCCTCCCTAAATCAATTCCTTTTCTGATTAAGTCAACCAAAATGGGTTACTGATGTTTACACTCAAAAACCCCAACTAGTAAAGAAATTTACAACAGGACAGAGGTGCAGTGAAACGGAGGGTTTGCTAGCAGATTGGTTATAATCTAGTCAGAATACTAAAATCCAGTTAATGTTCAGGTAATCTAGCAGTGTGTGGTTCACAGCGGTAAACTGATGAAATTAAATGCTCACTTACAGTCACCTGGAGTGAAGAACTCATTAAGGCAAACTTTGAAGACCATATTGCTACTTGCATAGAATGAAATGAAGAGCTTCAGTCGTACAGACTCTCTTGAATGTAGCTCTTCCCGAGAGACCTGGGCAGTAAGGAAAAAAAAAGAAATGGCAAGCTTAAATCTCTAAATATCCGACACAAAGACCTTGCAATGATTTGTTAAAATGATACCTTATTTATAGTCTTTTAAGGTTAACATAGTTGAAAGCCAAGCACAGAAGTGCATTGCCAAATTTCAACGTATGCCGAGTTGACATATTGAAGCAGCTACATCGTTTGGCATATATACCCTATGGTTCATCACCTCTCACCAGGAAAATTTAGGACAGGGACATCCACGAGGAATTTAGGAGCAGAGGTTTAATAAGCAGAAGAGAAGAGAAAGAGAAACAGTGGGGGGGGGGAGAGAGAGAGAGAGAAGGAGAGAGAGAGAGAGAAGGAGAGAGAGAGAGACAGAGACAGAGAGAGACAGAGAGGAGAGAGAGAGAGAGAGAGAAAACCTCCCAGTTGAAAACGACCAGCTGGTGGAGGATGCACTGGATGTTATAGTCCAGCTTGAGGAGATGGCGTCTGATTTACCTAGGGCTCACAGACTGGGTGGATCAGGTATGGTGTTTACATAGCCCTGGGGAAGGCTGGCCACCCTGCCCTAATTTAATTATGTAAATGAACTCTCCTGCTGACCGGTGCCATCTTGTCTGCTTTTTATGGTACAAGTGGCTGATAAAGAGAAGGGAAGATGGGGCGGCCATTTTGAACATGATTGCACAGCTGCCGGCATCTAGCAGCATGATTTTATAGGCTGTTCTTTGTTGGAAGGGAAAATGATTTGGGGCTGCTTTTCATTAAAAGGAAAACCTTACTGAGGACTTCCCTACCCTGTCTGCCTAAGTAATTTCTTAAGCCCTGTATCGAAACTCCCTAAGTATGTTTTATAAAGGTTAGGGCATTGTTCAGGAAGGACTGTGGCCCCTAGTGGGGCACGATGGCTCGCACCTGTAAAATCACACTTTGGGAGGTTGAGGCAAGAGAACCACTTGAGCTCAGGAGTTTAAGACAAGCCTGGGCAATATACTGAGACCTTGTCTCCACAAAACAATTAACTGAGCATGGTGATGCACACCTGTAGTCTCAGCTATTTAGAAGTGAGAGGATTGCTCAGCCTGGGAGGTCGAGGCTGCAGTGAGCCAAGATTGCACCATGCACTCCATCCTGGATGACAGAGAAAAATCCTGCCCCCCACCAAAAAGAAGACTGCGACCCCCAAAATTGTAATAAGGACATTTGGGAAGATCTGGGAGCCTTATGGAACACCACACATGGAACCCTTTGGGTCTCTCTTACCAGCTGAAATGCATGCCCCTCCATTATCTGATGAGGCTGCTCCTGTGTGGTTTGAAGATGCTCTAACTCTGTGCATAGACTTCCTCGCAGAAAGAAGCCGGCTCTGCTCATGCCTTTTTCCTCCACCCCATGGCTCATTGCTCATAGGTCTATAAATACAGTCAGATTCTCACATGACCTGGAAGCAGGAAGTGGAGCTTTTGATTACTTAAAAAGTTAAATCCCCATCAAAAGACTTTCCGATAAGCAGATTCTAAGGTGGAGATTAGCATGCAAGACTGCGATCAGGAAGTGAGCTTGAGACCATGCCTGTGGAGCAGAAGGGACAGACATGGGACAGCCCTGGGCAAGGGAACAGTTGTGCTGTGTGCACCACTCACACAGCTCTGGAACTAGACGGTCATTTAGAGCTCTTCTGAGTTGGAGCCAAGGAGCCAGGCTTTGTTAGCCCAACTTTGTCCAGTTGTCAGATGTGGCTGCTTCACAAAGGGGACATGACATGGCTGAGGGCCCAGTCCCAGCAGCTGGAAGAGTAAGTCCTTCAATCCTGAGAGGGATCCAGTGCATGCCACAGTGTCCAACACCATGTATTATTTTAAATCAGCCTGAAATTAATCAGGAGTATGCTCACCAGGAATCAGGAGGCAGTGTGCTATCCCCAGCCATTGTAAGTGGCCCTAATTGCTGTGTCAGTTGTTGTTTTGAAATGTGGACTCAACAATGGCTCATGTGAAATGAAATTCCATGAAAACAATGGAAGAAATAATCCAAAACTTTTGGGATATAGAAATGCTGGAGAGGATTTATCATGTGTCACCTGCCCATACATCTGCGAATTCTCAAGAGGGCCCACACCGGTGAGGGAGTACCTCCATCTCTGAGAAGCAGCCTTGTGACTGATTTCCATAAGCTGAAGATGCACTTATAAGCCGTTGAAATGGGATCCCTGATTTTAATGGAAAAGAAAAGATACCAGAATAGCAGAAGCTGATTTCAGGCACTTTACTACAAAGGACAAGATGATCATGGTAGTTTCAATAGACAAGAGGGCTAGAATGGTAATGAAAATGGTCGGACCCGACTTGGTGGGAGCTGACTGACGTTCAAAAGTCTGGGTAGAAATTGAAGTTCTCCATCAATATCCACCATCTTGTTCTCTCTGATCAATGCTGCCTATCCCAGCCTCCTTTTAGCTGATATAGTTATATGACTAGCTCTGGCCAATGAGATGAAAGAAGAAATGTGAGCTCTTTTCTTCCACTGTGCTGCTATGACAAAATACCTGAGACTGGGTAACTTGTAAAGAACAGGAATTTATTTATCACAGTTTTGGAGGCTGGAAGTTCAAGATCAAGACACCAGCAGGTTTGCTGTCGGTGAGGGCTACTCTCTGCTTCCAGGATGGTGCCTTGTGGTGCCATCCTCCAGAGGGGACAAATGCTATGTCCTCACATGACAGAAGAGCAAAGAGGGGCCAGACTCTCTTTGGAGGCTCTTTTGTGAAGGCCTTAATCCTATTCACAGAGGAGGAGCCCTCATGATCTAAGCACCTCCCTCAAGGCCCCGCCTCTTGATACCACCACCATGAGGATTGAGTTTCAATATGTACATGTTGGAGGGGACACCATCACTCAAACCATAACATGGGTCATCTCCAGGACATGCCCTTAAAGGGGGTGAGGAGAACACCGTTTTCACTTCCTTCCTCCATCCTACTATGTGGAATAGGAACATGGGGGAAAGTCACATTTGGTGTGGGGACACCTGAGGGACAGCAGAGTAACCAGACAGAGTCTGGGTTCCTGGACAATTCTGGAATGCGGAGCTGCCGCCCCAGCCTTAGACTGTCTTCCTTCAGACCGTGACTTGAAAGCTGGGTCTCTTCTATCTAAGTCATTGCTGTTTGGGGTCTTTGTTATTCCCAGCAAAATCTAAGTTATCCAGGTGTTGGCAGCCAAAAGTGTGGCACTGAGGTAGCAGATGGCAGAAAAGAATCATTGTGGGCTAGAAAACGGTGACGCTTGTTTCCCAGGGAAAACATTCGGTCACAGAGTCATCTACAATACGTTGGGAGGTATGAACCAAGCCTGCAGTTGTGCAGGAAGTGATTAAGACAAAAATAAGAAGACTGGCGTATTTCGGGTGCTCTCTGCTCTCTGTAGACAAACCCAGTGAGCTGAGTGTGGTGGCGTGTGCCTGTAATCTCAGCTACTTGGAAGGCTGAGGCAGGAGGATTGCTTGAGCCCAGGAGTTCAAGACCAGCCTGGGAACAGAGTAAGACCCCCATTTCAATAAACAATGATGATAATTGTCACATTAGTAATAACCCCAGGAAGAGAAGATGCTGGGGAGAACCAGCCAGTCTGCGAAGGCGGGTGGAAGGGGGAACAGCTCTGCCGGGACGTTCCTTTCTCTGCCTGCAACCCACAATCTAAGTTGCCGAAGAGTCAAAGATGGGGCTTTGTGGGTCAAAAAAGCTAAACTAACTGCTTCTAGTCACTAAACTAAGCATTTGTAAGTTAAGAGCCAGGCTTGTAGCAGGAAATAAGTCTGTGGCTGTGGTGCTCACCCTTTCTCAACCTTCCCAGCAGCCAAGAACGAATTAAGGGTGTTGACTTCCCTTCCAAGCCTGTCATTTCCGCTGGCCTCGAGGTAACCACCGTTAAATTGGGAGTGGGGTGAGGAACGAGTGGAGCACAAAGGTCAGTGAGCAAGTGGCCAGAGCCTTCAGCCTAAAAATCTATGTTTAGACAAGACAGTTTGCCATTGTTACTTGCACTTAGAACTGACCAAAAGCAAAAAAAAAAAAAAAAAAAAAAAAAAATTAATAAACAGAGGGCCAAAGATACACAGCCTGGCCTGAAAAATCTTGTGACATCAACCACCAAGTCTGTGGCCATTCAACCCTTTTACTTAAAAGGGGGTTGGGACGGCTCTGTTGAAAGGGGCAGCTGGTAACTATCTTGGGCTTTGTGGGCCCCATGCCTCTGAACCCACTTCCTGTGTTTGTACCTGTCATTGTGTGAATCATGGTGAGAAGAGGGGCCCTTCCTCCACTAAGACAAATACTTACTGCCCCTCCCCCTGGGAGCCACAACACGGGCAGGGGACCTACATGTGACCTGGCTCTTGGGCAAGTAACACCAAGAAGCAGGGAAGTTCGAATTCCCTCAGGCAGCTCAGTGGTGTGGCCTGTGCCCAGCGGCAGTGGTGCCAACAGCAGCATCTGTACCCTCAGAGGGTTCAGTAGGTCTCAGTCAGGTTGCTCTGTGGTGTGACCCTGGAGGACCATGGCTCCCCCGCACTCTGGCGCATTTTCTCGTCAGCTTTCTTGTCCGCTCATGAGAAACCTAATATCTTTCCGATAAATTCTCCTTCCTGCTTAAGTTCATCAGTCTTCTGTCATTCTTCTTGCTGCTGTTTGAAGCCAAGAAGCAAGATTGTTAGTTGCAGATAACTGTGGCCACCAACACAAAAGTAGCAGCTAAATCTGTGAGATGGTTTGAAACTGCTCTCAATGAGAGAAAGAGAAATAAATGAGGTGGAATCTCTGGGAACAGAAACATTTAAGGGAGGGAGAGAAAGTGATCTACAAAAGGGGAGTGGTCGAGAATGGAACAAGTACAAAGAGTAAAGAGATGTACAGAGACTGAGCCCCAAGTTCAGTCTGTGGAGTAGGAGTTGTTCTATGTGTAAATAAGACACAAAGTGGGTTGGTGACATTCACAGATACCACTAAGGGCTATAAGCCATTAAAGGGTCACTGACATGAACATGGAGGTCACATTTTTCAGAGTGAACTTTAGTCCAATTTAAGTAATTTATTAATTTGTTTGAGGCAGAGTCTCCCTCTGCTGCCCAGGCTAGAGTGCAGTGGCATGAACTCGGCTCACTGTAACCTCCACCTCCCAGGCTCAAGTGACTCTCCTGCCTGAGCCTCCTGAGCAGTTGGGATTACAGGCACATGCCGCCATGCCCAGTTAATTTTTATATTTTTTGTAGAGATGGAGTTTCACCATGTTGCCCAGGCTGGTCTTGAACTTCTGGCCTCAAGTGATTTCCCCCAGCTCAGCCTCCCAAAGTACTAGGATTACAGGCATGAGCCACCGCTCCTGGCCCTATTTATTTGTTATTTTTTTTAGAGACAGGGTCTCACTGTTCCACTCAGGCTGGAGTACAGTGGCGCAATCACGGCTCACTACAGCCTCTAACTCCTGGGATCAAGGGATCCTCCAGTCTCAGCCCTCAAAGTGCTGGGATTACAGGCATGAGCCACAGTGCCTGGCCCAATTTAATTTCTTTATTTTATTTTTTGAGATGGAGTCCTTCTCTGTCTTCCAGGCTGGAGTACAGTGGCGCAATCTCGGCTTACTGTAACTTCTGCCCCCTGTGTTGAAACAATTCTCCTGCCTCAGCCCCCCTAGTAGCTGGGATTACAGGCATGCATTACCACACCCGGCTAATTCTTGCATTTTTAGTAGGGACGGGGTTTCACCATGTTGGCCAGGCTGGTCTCAAACTCCTAACCTCAAGTGATCTGCCCACCTTGGCCTCCAAATGTGCTGGGATTACAGGCATGAGCCACCACGCCTATCCCCAGTTTAATTTCCTTTTTTATTTTTATTTTTTGAGATGGAGTCTCACTCTGTGGCCCAGGCTGGAGTGCAGTGGCGCGATCTCCGCTCACTGCAACCTCCGCCTCCAGGTTCAAGCGGTTCTCTTGCCTCAGCCTCCTGAGTAGCTGGGATTACAGGCATGCAGCACCACGCCCAGATAATTTGTGTATTTTTAGTAGAGATGAGGTTTCACTATGTTGGCCAGGCTGGTCTTGAACTCCTGACCTCATGATCCACCCTCCTTGGGCTCCCAAAGTGCTGGGATTACAGGCGTGAGTCACCGTGCCTGGCCCCAATTTAATTTTTTAATCCATTTTCCATACTGTGGAGTTAAACCGTTTCCAATTTTCTCCATTTTTTTCATTTTTACATTATTGAAATTATTCTCATTGGCAATAATTTTTGTCATTTAAATTCTAAGATGATTCATCATCAGTTTTTGGCCCATGGATTCTACCAATTACAGTATCTGCAATTGGGAATTTTCTTTTGTAACTATTTTTTTTTTCCAATCAAGTTTTGTAAATTTGGTCAAGTAGATTTATTGTTAATTTTTACTCAGTGACAAATTTTATCCAGTGCAATTTCCACCACTGTCAGTTTCATTTAGTGATATTTAGCATGAATTGAATACACCCTGAGAATTTGCATCTATTTGTATTTATTCTTTGGTTAACCCATGAGAAAAACTGTGAATGGTTTTATGATACAGAGAGAAGCAGAGATGGGAGAGACAGGGGCAGGGAGGGGAAGAGAGGAAACAAGAGGGCAAGGGAAGTCGAGTGAGACCCAGAGGTAGGAGGGGAAGGCACTCTCTGTCCTGTCTTTAATTACCAAGTATTTAACCACCAGCATTAGGACTCACTGCTTGGGCACTTAGTAGAGTTGCATCTCTGGGCAGCCAGGAGGCTGAAAGGGTGGAGACTCTTGCTCAGGCAGGGAGTTTCGAGCCAAGCCCACCTGCCCCCTGGGCCAGAGCCTGCAGTCGCTAACGGGACCCTCCAGAGCTCTCTGGCCTCTGACCCAGCACCCAGCAATGTCCCACAACTGGCGGCCCCATTAGTCTGGGCCTCCAAGCAAGCACAGCACAGAGCAGAGTGATGTACATATTCCATGTTTATGGAAAATAAACCATGACTGGTTTAACACAAACCACTGGAATATGGGGGCTATTTATAATAGCAGCATAACCTACTTATTTCAATTGATATTGAGAGCTGTGCGGCTTTGCTCAAGTCTTTAACCTCTCTGATTACCAGTTTTCTCATGTAGAAAATAGAGAAAACAGTACTTAACTTGCCTGTTGTCAGAATTTATTAAATTTAGGCTGGGTACGATAGCTCATGTGTGTAATCTCAGTACCTTGGGAGGCCGAGGAGGGTGGATCATTTGAGGTCAGGAGTTCGAGAGCAGCCTGGGCAACATGGCGAAACCCCATCTCTATAAAAAATACAAAAAAAAAAAAAAAAAAAAAAAAAAAAAAAAAAACTTAGCCAGGCATGGTGGCACATGCTTGTAATGCCAGCTACCCAGGGAATCGCTTGAATCCGGGAGGTGGAGGCTGCAGTGAACCGAGATCGCACCAGTGCACTCCAGCCTAGGCAACAGAGTGAGACTCCATCTCAAAAAAAAACAAAAACAAAATTAAAAAAAAAAAAAGGGAAGAGAAAGAATTAATTGAATTTAAAGTGTCCAGTGTCTAGCAGACATAAATAGAGCTTTTTAAATTAATAGAGCAGCTTAGTATGAATTTTACTCCGGTTTAATTCAGAAATAACTGTCCTGTTTTCTTCTGTCTTAGGATTCCGCCCACTCCAAGGCAGGAAGGCGCACGTGTATGCTCCTCACCTCCAGGGCGTTTAAAGACCCAGCCCTCCCCTCCCTGCGGTAACGGGGAACCCATTCTTGGATGCCGTAGATTTGGGATCGGGTCTTCTGGGCCATCAAGACCTCCTGTGAAAGCAACAGGCGACCAGCGCTGGTGGTGGGAGGTTCTGGGGAAAGAACAGAGCGAATGGAGGCAGATGTTGAGCCACTAGATGAGGCCTGCACAGGATGAGCCGGGCCTCCGAGCAAGCACGACCCACCGGGGTGATGGACTGAGACGCCGGTGGGGAGTAAACCAGGGCTGGCTCACTGTGGTTCTGACGCCTGGAAAGTTGCCTATCAAGGGCACCGCACTGCCCGAGAGCCAAGAGGCAGATCAAGCAAAGACCTCTGCCGGGAGCCTTCCCCGAGAACGCCCTTCCTCCCCCGGCAGGGGCGGCCTGCAGGAGAGGCCTGCGCTCCGCTGGCTCCCGCGCCTCCGAAGCCACCTGCCCTGCCGGCGGGACGCTCAGCCAGACCCTCCCTGGGCTCCCTCCCCGCCTCCGTCCCCTCCCTCCTGGCCCACGGCCCCCAGGGAGTGACGGCGGCGGGAGGGAAGAGGCTGGGAAGAGGGCCGGGCCACCCTCCACGCCCGCCCTTCATTCCCCACCTCCTTCTTCCAGATTCCTCTCCGGGCTCTGACAGAATAGACCGAAGAACGGCGCGTTCGACCTGTTTCACAAATGCTTTTGATACCCCTGAAACAAAGAGAAACATGTGCCATGGCCGCAGGGGATTATTGCACGTTGTAGCTTAGCAGGAGTGAACCGGGCAGAAAGACACCCGATCACCGGCCTCCAAAACCGGCCCAGACCTCGGGCGACCGCGTCGCGCGACTCCACCAGTCCGTGCCGCCTGCAGCGCCCCCAGCGGCCTCGCAGCCATCGTGCCTCGGCGGCGCCGCGGCGTCCCGCTCGGCAGTGTCCACGAGAGGGCGCCAGCGCCCCTCCGAAGAGGGATGGCGACGCCAGCGCTCGCGGGTGCAGCCCGGAACTGCTCGGCAGCTGCGGAAGGCCGCGGCAGCAGCGTGCGCGATGGCGCCTTCCTTCAAGAGCGTGGGTTTACCTGAACTTGCAGCTCAGGGATTTTTATATTGAAACCACCGCACATCCCCTGGGGCAGGCAGCTCCTCTCCGAGGGTTACAATCGTAATGCTAATCACGGTCATGATCGTTGTGGTAATGGCCCCTTGCCCTGAGGGTCTTCTGGCCCGGGACGTCCTGGCCTGGCTGCTCAGGACAGGTGATTACCTTTTGAGGGCCTGAGCTAATACTCTCCCGCTGGTATTTGCAAAACTTTAATTGCCCACGTCTTGTTTAGATTTTCAGAACCATCCCATTTAGCTCTCACAGAAATTAACTTTTTAAGGATAAATAGACTTGGAGAGGTCATTATTACTGTTGTTGGAAATAACACTTGAACTTGGGTTCTCAAATTCCAATTCCCCCAGCTTTTTGTCTCCCCAAATTTGCTGTGTGTATATGTGAGAGAGAGAGAGAGAGAGAGAGCACGCACCTCCCAAGTTCTTTGCTTACGGGCTTGCTGATGCCTCACAGGCCGCTATTTGCACTTCCTTTCTTTGACACTTTCCTTGCGAAAGTGTACCAGTCACACATTTACACATGGATGGGCATGGATAGCACCAGATCCTTTCCCCACTCCCCCCTGCTGGGGTCCCAGCAGGTATAGGAGGAGAGGACTTGGTGGCAAGCGCTTCAGACCAGTGTCTGGAGATGTGTGTTCTGGACCTGGGCCTGCCACCACCTGTGCAACCCTGGGCAAGGCACTAGCCCTGGGCACCTCTCCTGAGGAGGCGACTGACCACGTCTCTGGGGTCTTGCACAGCTCTGATGTTTCTGGACTGTGATTGTGCAGAAAGCAGAAGTGCTGCCGGCAAGAAGAAGGCACCATGTGCTGTGTTGGGGTTGACAGGGTGTGAGTGTTGCCGTGGACAGGCAACCCAGGCACCGAGCTTCCACCTAAACCAGCTCTGAGCTCCATCCCACCCCCTCCCCATCGTGGCCTGAACGTCCCATCTCGGGAGCCGCATTCTCCAAGCCCAAAACTGAGAGGTGTGGTCTGATGATTTCTTAAGAGAACGTCATCTTCGAATGACCCACCATAGGAACCCCAAAGCAGAGTCTGCAGGCAGCTACTCAGCCTCAGGCCCTGAATATGTTCCTGATGCTGCCCTGCTCTGCCAGCTCCATTAACATTACATCAGCCTCTCTCTCCGCAGAGCCTCACACTGTGGGCGAGCTCCCGGCTTCCTTTCTTTGACTTCTCCCCAGGTGCCACGTCTGAGGACTTGTAAGTAGAATAAATGAATCCACTGTAATTACCAGATTAATTACAAAATGGCCATTTTACTAAAGAAATAGAGAAGACCCTATGGAATTTCTGGGAAACTACCTAAGAACAGACTCCCCACTAAAGGAAAGAGTACCTATTTCAAGATCCAATACTATTTGCATTTTACTGGTACATGTGGGTGTGGTTCAAAGGCTTCAGTCAGGTGGCTTTCAAATGTGCTCATTTATTTTTTTTTTCTGACAACTGTAGCCACTCTAATGTGTTGCATTCACATCGTGTCCTTCATCCGCCATCTCAAATGTTCTTCCTTTCTGATTCCTGAGTGCTGTTTGTCAAAGTTGCTTTGGTTCTGTTTGCCCTTCAGGGATGGTTCCTCTGTGCCTACGCCTGAGACTTGTCTCTCCTGAAAACTCACTATGAAGGTGGACTTGAAGGTCCGGAGGCTCAGAGCCTGAAGGCTGGGGTCGGGGCAGAGGCAGACACGGCAAGGTGGGAGGATGGGTTGGGCAGACACAGGTCAATTGGCCAGTCTTCAGCAGGCTCCCAGGCTCCTGTGGGAAAGGTCGGGGTGCCTGCAGGCCATGCCTGACTGCCTTGAGTGGGAGGCCCGTCTTGTGGGCTGGGCACCGAGTGTCCCCACCAGACTGAAACAAGACAGGCTGAGCACTGGGATCGTGGCCAAATGGTGATCTGCATGGCTGCCATTCCAGAGGTGCTGCCAGCCACAGGAGCAGTGCCTGCTCTCTGCCCCCAGGCCCAACCATTCCGAAGCTGCCCAGTGCTGACTTGCAACAACCTAAGATTTTTGGTGGCATAGGCGAGGTGATAGGTTTCAGTTAAGCTGCTTGAAGGAGCATAGAGAGTTATAGACTAACCCAGGACTGTAGCGTTCCAAGCCCTGGAGCTGGGTCGGGAGGAGTGGCTCTTGGGACCAGCAAAGCACTCCACCGTGCTCAGGGGCCAGCCCCTCCCTGCACATCTACTCCGTTCCTCAGACTCAGACTCGCTGCCGCTTCCTTCACTCTCCCTTATTTTCTCTGCCCTATAGCTTCTGCCTCCAGGTAGTTTCTTTCTCCTTGTAACTTCAGCCTGCCAAGACCCTCACTCAACTTCTTGGTCTTGCCCCACAGCGGGATCCTTCAGCTTCAGTTCCATGCTGTGTGATTGTCTCCAAGTTTACAAATTCCAACGCCCATCTTAGACCAAATAGCCTCAGGCCTCCAAGGACAAATGTGGGGTGACCTGACAAAGCCAGGTTTATTGACTTGTTGCAATGAGAGAGTCACACACCAGAGGAACCATGAGGCATCTTACCAACTGCAGGAGATTGATTACAGCATTATGCAATGTTGGGGAAAGTGGAGTTTTGGTGACATTTAAATGGTCAGTGTCTTACTAGGCTCACAGCAAGGCAAAGCTGAGTGTGAAGGGGCAATGTCGGGTCTGGAATGCAAAGTGAATCCAGGGACCTCTGACCTCGGAATCTAAAGTTAGGATATATGTAAAATGCTGTGTCCAGAAACCCCTTACCCTTACTTCAGCTCTCTGCACATGGACTGTAAATTAAGGCTATTTCTCTGTGTCAGTGACTGAGGTCCTCCAAGCAACAGCGAGGTGTTTTATTCTTACACATGTAATTTCAAACAGTGAAACTTCCGATAGTCTATATTTTAGAGAACAAAGTTTCTCAGTGAGTGAGAAAACAGTAGTCACTCAAAGAAGGGAATTACGGCGTTTTACAGCTGCACCGTGTCCTTGGGGAAAATAATGTTTTCTGTGAACTTTGCAGCTCACTTCATGCATGTCGTTATTCCAGCACAGTCGTCGGCTGGCAAATTCTTTCTTCCTCATGCTCAAGAGGAGCATCTGAGGCCGGGCGAGGTGGCTCACGCCTGTAATCTCAGCACTTTGGAAGGCCAAGGTGAGCAGGTCATGAGGTTAGGAGTTCGAGACCGGCCTGACCAACATGGTGAAACCCTGTCTCTACTAAAAATACAAAAATTAGCTGGGCATGTTGGCATGTACCTGTAATCCCAGTTACTCAGGAAGCTGAGGCAAGAGAATCGCTTGACCCCAGGAGGAGGAGGTTGCAGTGAGCTGAGACTGTGCCACTGCACTGCACTCCAGCCTGAGTGATAGAACAAGACTCCAGCTCAAAAAAAAAAAAAACAAAAAGAAGAGCATCTGCTCAGCCCAGCCTACCTTTGCAGCTCAGGCACTGGGTGTCTGAGTTGCAGCCAAACAACCTTGGGTTGTGCTTTCCCCCAGCCCCAGTCTTATCAGTGAATGGCGCTGCAGGGAGGTCTCTGTCCTCACCCCTTTTAGCCCCAAGGGAGGGAGAAGAGAACACGCTGCTTGGAGGAGGCTGGGAAGAGCCCTAGAGGCTCTGACTCAGGCTGGCCACTCTCCTGCAGGAGCTGTGGACGGGAGCCGGTGTCGTGCTGAACGAATTCCACATGAAAATGGGAGCTCCAGCTCCAGAGCTGGGAAAAGTCCCTCAGTGAGTCCACCTGGTCGGGGAGGAAGCATCCTGCAATCCCCACCCACCACTCCTTGCTCCACTCTGCCTTTCCATGTGGAAGCCTGTGTCCTCGGGCACAGGATAAACTGCTTAAAGAAGAAAGAAGGAAGCTTCTCTCCAGGTGGCAGCCCAGAGGTAGATAAGCGGGGCCAGTGCTGTGTGGCTCTGCCACCCTCAGGAGCGGCTTCCATTCGCAGGTGCAGATGCTTAGTACAGGCCTTGCCAATGCCCAGCTAGCAGGCCAGGGAAAGACACAGGGGAGCACACACTCGGCCCTCTTAAATGCAAGAATACAACATCCTGGGAACTAGGGTGTGTGATTTCAGCTCATTCCTGTCGGCAGGACTTGCTCTTAGGTAAGGGAGGCTGAGAAAGACACTTGGCTCAGTGGCCACGTGCAGGAGCTGTCAGCCCTCTCCTAGCTCGCCACTTAGCGACAGTGCCCTTCTTGTTGGCTAGCCTCTTCCATCCACAGGCAAAGGCTTCCTTTCTTCCTTTGTCCTGTTCTAGTCTCTAAAAGAACCAGAGATTTTAACACCTGAGCCTCCACTGCGTGCAGACCAGTGGGGACAGAGCTGCAGATCCTGGCAGGGGTCTCCATGCTGATGGTAAGGAGAGATTGTCTGCAGACCTTGCTCCACCAGAGACCTCCCTGCAGCGCCCTTCACCACACAGCCTTCTTGCCCAACCGTGTCATTTGGTGCTGCTTCAGATGCCTGCCCATTCCCTGCCTTGCTCCAAAGAGCTTTAGGAGGTAGAGGAGGCACTGCTCCAGGGCCCCAGGAGCACGGGAGTATCCTGGGGCCAGCCGGTGCCTCCAGGGCTCTTCCTAGCCTCCTCCAAGCAGCGTTCTCTTCTCCCTCCCTTGGGGCTAAAAGGGGTGGGGGCAGTTGAGGGTGGAGGACACTGAGGTTGTGCTGACCTTTGTGCCCAGAACAGAAGGTTTCATGCTCAAATCACATCAGGGTCACCATCTGCAACATTGACCATCACCTGCAGAGGTCTGTCCTACAGTCCCTGACAACAACGGATAAATAAATGCACTCTCACACCTGGTTCAGTGATTCAAGTGGGCTAGGGATGGCCATCAGCTGTTTTCAGAGGGTGAAATGCAGCCAATCAACCAAGACCCCCTGTACATCCACACATTTATTCAGGAAAGATTTCATAACAGAGGTTCTAAGTCCACATGCTTGTGGATAATTAACATGGCTAGAAGAGTGGTTTTACGGACGATAAAAGATTAGGGTCCGGGCCCAGAGTATACACTATTAACGAGTAATTCCCCTTTGATTTCCCCATGAGAGGGCCATCCAGCACAAAGTTTGCATGAGTAAACAGAGTGGAGACAAAAGGATGTGGGGTAAACAGATTTAAACTGGGAAAGCCTTTTATTGCCCCATCTCTTCCCTAGTAATAGACCAGCCGTCTTAGGTCCATTAAAACCTTTCCACCTTCCAAAAGGTTTGAGACTAATTTATAACTTTCCCTAATATTTTGCTAATATTTTGCCAGCCACCTAGAGTGAATCTCAACACCCAGCACCCTCCATCCACAGCCACCCAGAGTGAATCTCAACACCCAGCATCCTCCATCCACAGCCACGCACCTGTGCCACTCTCTTGGCTTGTTGACCGGCCAGGCCAGGGACGCAGTTTTCTAACGTGTCCAGAGCAAGGCAGTAGAAGACAGGCCAGCACTGCTAGCATGAGCCCACGCGTCCTGGCATCTCTGAGCTCCCAGGTGCACACTCGGCCACACCTCAGCCACTGGCTCCTGGGCCCCAGCAAGTGCCACATGTCTGATGTGGTGGATGCTGTCCCAACTCATGTCAGGCCAGGCACAAAGGCAATGGGAACTGATGGACAAGACGGATCACCCCCTCACCACCTACACAATTATTGCAGACAGCCCACCCGAAAGCTTGTTCTAAAGTTGCCGTGGAAGAATGCCCCAGAGGAAGGAATTCATACCAAAGTCATAGTGACTTCATGTACCAAACAGCAGGGAAGCATAGCACTTAAGTACCTAGACTTGAAGTCAAGTTAACTACGTTTAAATCTGAGGTCTACCACTTCCCGGCAACTGGGACCTTCAGCAAATTACTTAATTCCACTAAACCTCAGTTTCTTCATTTCTAAAATGAGACTAATAATGGTAGCCCACTTTATAATCATCAGAGAAGATTAAAACAATTGTCGCACTAAAAGTGCTTAAAACAGTACCTAGCACAAAATGAGCATTTTATAAATGTTGGCTATTGTTACCCTTCTGGACGTGTTTGGATTCAGTGAATCATAATGACAATACATGACCTTGTGGAAAGACACTAATGGTGGTCTCCCACACATCAAGTCGTAGAAGTGGGGGACATAGTTTTAGGGAATCAGGAAAGCTGGTGTTGCCCACAGGGAACTGGCTAATGTAGAAAAGGACTTTCCTGGGACTGTGAAGTCAGAAAAACAAGGTCAAAATCAGGCTGGTTGCTGTTAACATGTCAGAGGCGTGCAGCCTGCAGAGACAAGGCTTCTGGGGTCTCCTGACCACCACTACGTGAAGCCCTGTTACTCTCCAGCAGTCCTGTGACAGTCCCACCCCACAAGCAACAAGGATGCCTGCGCTGATGTAAACCAGGGGTGGGAAAAGTGAGACCAATTTGTTGGCTAAAGGTGTGAGGACATTTAAGCCCTTGCTATGCATGAGGTTAGGAAAATTGCAGTCATTTCTGTTTATAGTAATGCCTAGCTGTGACTGGGAAGAGCCCTTTGTTGAGGGTGCAAACAAGACCATGAGCTTCTTGAGGTAGGTGTGGATCTAGTTGATTGCCTGGCACACAGATGATGCTCAGTAAATGTTGGCTGGATGCAGTCAGGAAACCTGTGTCCCAGTCCCTGCTCTGTAGGGAGCCACCAG